GACCTTTCAAAGTTCTTCAACGCGAACCTAAGTACCATCTAATCGATAAGAACGGAACCAACGATAGCATCAGCATCGATCGCCTCAAAGCAGTGTATTTAGAAGAAATCCTATTTACGTCGATTTTCCTTCGGTACAATCGAACGACACGACTCCACTCATAATTCCTCAATCGACAACCAACACACGCGATGATACACCGAATGTATGTGAAAAAAAACTTAAAACGACGCGTTCTGGAAAAAGAGTTAGATTTCCAGAACATTTAAACGACTATTGCACGTAAGGCACTACCAGACATTTAATATTATCTCGATCTTTCTTTTTACGATATATAATATATTTAATAAAAAAACAATTTTAATGTGCTTATATATTTTTATTTTTATTCCAAAAAAGAACAAAAAGAACATTATAAATTTTTTTAACGAAATTACGTGTAAATCAGTTTATATTCCAAGTTTTTCGCCAACATTGTGTTTTTACGCACATACGAGTGTATTTCGACATGCACTTACATTCTCTTTTTTCTTTTCCACAACGGCTGGAAAAGAACGATGACGTTTATGAGGAGCCGAAATTTTCATTGTAATTTTTCTTTTTTTACTATGTTGTACCTCGGTCCCATATAGTAAGGAAAGACGACCAGACGCTGCTAATCCTAGCAAGCTATCAGAAGAGTGTTTACCAACGACAAACTCGCTGGATTTAAACTTCTGGCTGGCCACGTCTTAGGGTCGTCACTGCCCCACTAGGGGGGAGAGTTGACTCTAGGCTGCTTGTACTGGTTAACGCGTTGCCGGTTTCGCATAGTGCCGAGGTCACATGATGCGATGTTCCGATTACTGATAGGGTTACTTACTTACTTATTTACGCCTGTTACTCTTAATGGAGCAAAGGCCACCGACCAGCATTCTCAAACCCACTCTGTCCGGGGCCTTCTTTTCTAGTTCCATCCAATTCTTGTTCATTTTTCTCATGTCTATCTCCATTTCCCAGAGTAATGTGTTCTTTGGTCTTCCTCTCCACCTTTGGCCTTCAGGATCCCATGTGAGGGCTTGTCTTGTGACGCAGTTGGGTGCTTTCCTCAATGTGTAGCCTATCCACTTCCGGCGTTTCCTCCTTACTTCTTCCTCCGCTGGGATGTGGTTTGTTCTTTCTCACAGTTGGTTGTTACTAATAGTGTCTGACCAACGGATCCGAAGTATTTTGCGTAGACAACTGTTAATAAACACCTGTACCTTCTGGATGATGGCTTTCGTAGTTCTCCAGGTTTCCGCCCCATACAGTAGGACTGTTTTGGACATTTGTATTGAAAATTCTGACCTTGATGTTGGTTGACAGTTGCTTTGAGTTCCAGACGTTCCTCAGTTGTAAATATGCTGCTCTTGCTTTGCCGATCCGCGCCTTCACATCTGCATCAGATCCACCCTGTTCATCAATGATGCTGCCCAAATACGTAAAGGTTATTACATCTTCCAAATCTTCTCCATCAAGTGTGATTGGATTGGTGCATTCTGTGTTGTATCGGAGAATCCTGCTTTTCCCTTTGTGTATGTTGAGACCTACTGCTACTGAGGTTGTTGCTACACTGGTCGTCCTCTCCTGCATTTGTTGTTGCGTTTGGGATAGAAGGGCCAGATCACCTGCGAAGTCTAGATCGTTCAGCTGCATCCTAGATGTCCATTGTATCCCGTGCTTCCCTTCAGATGTTGACGTCTTCATGATCCAGTCGATCACCAGGAGAAAGAGGAAGGGTGAGAGTAAGCAACCTTGCCTGACACCGCTCTTCACTTTGAACGACTTTGTCAACTGTCCTCCATGCATGATTTTGCAGTTTAATCCATCATATAAACTCTGTATGATATTGACTATCTTCTCAGGCACGCTGTATTGTCGAAGAAGCCTCCATATTGTTGTCCTGTCCACACTATCAAATGCTTTTTCGTAGTCAATGAAGTTGATGTATAGTGATGAATTCCATTCAATTGATTGTTCCACAATGATCCGTAGAGTTGCGATTTGGTCTGTACACGATCTATCCTTACGGAATCCTGCCTGTTGGTTACGAAGTTGGGCGTCTACGCAGTCCTTCATCCTGTTTAACAATACTCTGTTGAAGACTTTCCCCAGTATTGAGAGAAGAGTGATGCGCCTGTAGTTATCACAGTTTCTGAGACCGCCTTTCTTCGGTATTTTGATCAGAAGTCCTTCTTTCCAGTCTGTTGGTACTTGTTCTTCATCCCAAGTCTTATTGAAGGGAATGTGGAGTATCCTTGCAGTTGCCGCTATGTCTGCTTTCAGTGCCTATCCTGGAATGTTGTCTGGTCCTGCTGCTTCGCCACTCTTGATTTGTCTGAGGGCCACGTTGCTTTCTTCAATTGTTGGTGGGCCAACATTGATTGGGAGGTCCGTGGGTGCTGCTTCGATGTTGGGTGGGTTCAGTGGAGCTGGTCGATTCAAGAGTTTTTTGAAGTGTTCTACCCACCTGTTTTGTTGCTCTTCAATGTTGGTGATTACATTGCCTTCCTTGCTTTTCACTGGTCGTTCTGGTTTGCGGCGACTTCCAGAGAGTTTCTTTGTTATGTCATACAATTGTCTCATGTTTCCTTCTCTTGCAGCATTTTCTGCCGTCGTTGTTAAATCTTCCACATATTTACGTTTGTCGGTTCTGATGCTCCTCTTCACTTGTTTGTTTATTTCCGTGTATTCAGCTTGTGCCTTGGCTTTTTCTGCTCTTGTTCGGCTGGTATTGATCGCTGCCTTCTTGTTCCTTCTTTCTTGAATCTTATCCAGTGTATCAACAGTGATCCATTCCTTGTGATGGTACTTCTTGTGACCCAGGACCTCATGACATGTTGAAGTGATTGCCTCTTTGATACCCTTCCAGTTGCTCTCCATAGTAGTTCCTTCTCCATTGAGTAGATCATGAAAGGCCTGGAACTTGTTGCTGAAGACTATCTTGAATTTGTTGAGTTTGTTAGTATCCTGAAGAAAGGCCGTATTGAACTTTTGTGATATTGTCCGCCCCATTGTCCAGTGCTTCTTGAGTTTCAATTTCATCTTGGCGACCAGCAGGTAATGATCTGAGGCTATGTCAGCTCCTCTCTTGGTTTTCATATCTTTCATAGTCTTCCTAAACTTTTTATTGATGCAGATATAGTCGATTTGGTTCTGTGTAGTGTGGTCCGGTGAAATCTATGTGGCTTTGTGCATGAGTTTATGTGGGAATATGGTACCACCTATGACCATTTAGTAAATCTCTCACCATTTTCGATCCTTTCTCCGGTGTTCTCCGTTCCAACCTTGACATTTAAGTCTCCCATCAGAATGATCAGGTCCTTTATTGGGCATCGCTCAAATATTGACTACAGCCTATCGTAGAATTGATCTTTGACGTCTTCATTGTAGTCGTTGGTTGGCGGATAGCATTGGATGACGTTCATTGTAATACCCTCTTTCTCTGTGTTGAAGGAGGCTTTGATGATCCTTGGTCCATGAGATTCCCATCCTATAAGCGCATTCTGTGCTTGTTTGGACAGCATCAATGCGACTCCTTGTGTATGTGGGGCATTTTCTTCTTCATGGCCGGAGTAAAGCAGAAGCTCCCCTGAAGTCAGTCGTTGTTGTCCAACTTGCGTCCAATGTGTTTCCCTGATACCAAGTACCTCCAGGTTGTATCTCCTCATTTCTGCAGCAGTTGGGAAGGCTCCCCCGGTGTCCCACATTGTACGAACATTCCATGTACCTAAATAAGTGGTTGCTCTGGTTGTCAGAAGGGGCATCGGCCTCGTAACTTCCGTAGGAACTCGGCCTTCATCATGAGGCGTCATAACTCTTCTAAATGAAGACCTTCTGACTCCCAGGGCAGAGTTTAAAAGGTTTGAATAATCTTTTCTGGTTAGCGTTTTTTTAGCGAGTTAGTTTTCTACGGGATGGGGTCGCTAACCCCATGCCCAACCTTCCTCCTCTATCCAGGCTTGGGACAGGCAGTAGCCCCCGGAGGGACTCCAGGCGGAGTTATAATAATAGGGTAAGTCATGACAAATAATTGTTTTCCGTCTCTTATTAGAGTTGATTTCTTCAAAGAACTGTACGAGCCTTTAGATTGTGAAAGTAGCCAAAGCTGTTTGTCTAGATAACTATGACCAGACTTGAGAAGTCCCCAAAGAAGTATTTAATTTCGCCTGTCTTTTTCTGTGTTATGGAACTCAGGATTATGCTTATCATGTTCACATAAAGTGATTTTAGAACACCCAGATGAGAGTGAATGCAAGAGAGAAAGATGAACTTTAAGAACTTATTTTTGTCAGGACTATAAAACAAAGTCCAGCTTGGTGCCGGCTCAAATACCACAAATAATTGTCTGGTCGTAAAAAGAGATGCACCCGTGAGATTCCGTGAAGGAACTCTCATGAGCTAGTTTAGACTTTTACTAACATGTAACCAGTAATTTCGAAAAGATTATTCTCGATGAAGCCGATTTTGAAGGGGATAGTGTGACCGCGGTTAAAAGTAACTGATTTTCGGGTTTTCAACCGAGAGTATTCTGATTTGCCGAACTGCACATTGGTATCTCCATGTAGTCACCGAATAATTCATCAGTTTGGAATAAACTCTCACCTTTAGGTCACATAAATGCCCGTCTGTAGGCGTACATTCTTTTGTGCGGGACATGCAGAGAACATGAATGAACCTATTCCAAATGGATCCCGAAGTTCTACTCTATACATTGCAAAAATAGGGCAACAAATCAATCATTTATGTAAGACCTCAGTAACTGACATTTACTTCAGTTCCAATGTAAGTGAAGGAGATTAGTACAAGTGTTCTTCCGAGATCACCGATTATTCACCAATATTTCAACTTTTCATGTTCAAGAAAAATCAGAGCCAACGAGTTTCTCAGAGACGCGTCTTTAAGTCTAGGTGTGAACTTCAAGTAGTTAACAGCTATTCAATCATCCTCATGAGTTTGAAGTTACTAGATTATTGAGTATTGAAAAAGCTAACAATTAGTTGAGTACGCTACATGTCACTGGCAAAATGCCCGTACTCGAGTCCCTTATGCTCGGTGAGAAGACAGCAGTTGTTTTTGACATAGGCTCAGTTTACACCAAGTATGCATTTTTTTATGTAATTAACAAGATTGATAGGTGTGGTTTCGCTGGAGAAACTGGACCAAGGTTTATTATGCCAACAGAGATCACTTTGGTTTGGCGAACTTGTAAAAATCAATAATATTTTCAGCCCACAGGTGAAAAAAGAAGTATATCCTCGTGTGATGGAAAGGACAAAAGACGAGAGTTCTTGACAACTTTTCTTTACAATATATACTATCGGTATGATCATCAAAATTTATTTCACACTTCGTAGACATTTGTTGGTAAACCCGAAGGACAGACGAGTTGTTGTAGTTGAAAGTGTCCTATGTCCTTCATCATTCCGTGAAGTTTTGGCCGACGTTTTGTTCAGTCATTTTGAAGTAAAATACTAAATGCAGATATCTTTTTGGTTTGCTATAGGCACCTTCTGTACTTTTTGCAACTTCCCACTTGATGGCACTATTTACTCTTGGGATTTCGTCAGCTGTTGTATTAGACTGTGGTTATATAGATGCTCAGGTTCTGCCTGTAAGGGGTATTCGCCCTCATCCTAGTGTTTATAGGTTTATGAAGGTTACACTCTACTGAACGCTTGGCAGTCAGCCCAGCTTGGTAGCAAAAGAATTCATGAGTATGTTTCGTGTAATATATAGTAATGTCCGTTAACTTTCAGAAACATCAGGGGTTACTTAAATGAAAATGCCAAGTTGGTGGATGTTATCAACGGGGAGTCGCAGTTAACCCCCTGTCCAGATTGTTTTATTTCGGAACATATCGTTGAAGATATAAAAGGTGGAGTGTCACTCATATTTGCTTACTCCTAGTTCGTACATGTTTTATTAGTCCACACAATAGGGCAGTCCAGTGGAAGGCTTGGAAGGACTCTGATGAATCATCGGTCACAAAGCCCAACTTGTATCAGGAAACATTTATTTTCCCCCTAGACAAGTTAGGGAACGAAAGGCCAATTCAAGTTGCATCAGATATCCGAGAGTTGGCAGTCGAATGTTTGTTTTCTGGAGACAATGACCAAATTACAATTACAACACTAATTTTACGATCAATTTTGTTGGCACCTATTGATATTAGAAGGTATTTAATCTCATTAACTCTGCACGTGAATCTTCTAATTTCTCGTCATGCAATACCCTGGTCATTTTGTATTAACTTTTGAGCATTTTGTACGTAAAATCAAGCTAACCTGTGGACTAGGCTGAAGATGCTTTTTGTAATAAGAGTGGAATACTGGTGGTATCTTTGTAGGTTTCGTCTTCACTTCCAGTTAGAATTTTTGGTGTATGACTGTGCAGGTAGTTTACACACTCAATGAGTGCATGCAAGCCTCATTAATATATTGATTCTTAGTGAAAATTGTCTTTGAGATAGTCAGGTCCCAAATCATTTACTTTGTATATATATACTCACTAATTATTCACACGCTTGTTTGCTTAGCTGGTGACTAAATACTAGGAAAATTAGATATTGGAATCTTCTCTATCATAAAAGAGCCATTGCAAAATCGTTTGCAATGGCGCAAGTGCATCCACTCTCTGTGTTCTCCCAAATTCTAATCTTCTGAATTCTTCATGTCCCTTTTTTCCTCTTTCCAAATTTCTTTCACTGGATTATACTCTTTAAATAAAATCTCCAAACCCTAATCTTCCCGATTACTGCTTATACTCTTATTACCTCTACCACTACGGGATTTGAATCGACAAGTGCATTCCTGTGCTAACGTGGTGTGGCAACTCGAACTGATGTACGTACGTACGAAGTTCTACGTTGTTACTGACTGACTGACTGACTAAAAGAGACATAGAGGGGTTTGACCTCGCAACTGCGCCAATAGGGCGGTGGATCAGTTGGTAAGGGTTCGAACCCTGTTCCATATATTTCGGTTTAATAAACTGGGTAGTATCACTAACTTAAGTTCACAAGCCTGCATCTGGCAAACAAATTGATGACCGCTGTGTTGTGTCTCATGATGACAGGACACAGTTATTGATGAACTCTTAAATATTCGATCAAAAATGACGGGATTTACAGTTTCAGTAGAGATTTACAAAGCCAACTTTTCCAGAACTTTGGTTACGAACATTATGCACTTACACTGTAGTCTATATATCCCAACCAGGCTACTTTTATTGCCTCTTGAACACCAAGTAAATTAACCTAATAAATGATGTCTGATTTTATGAAACAAAGATAATATGACAACTCATTAGTTAATAAACTGCCTTGTTGTAATATCAGTTGGTAGTGCCTCTAACTAACTTTGTTAACTTCTTACAATTCGAACTAAATCTATAGAGGGATCTTTCTAAATTCCAGAAATTATTACATATTAGTTTCAGAGGGTCCAGTATACTACTTTTCAGGGTATGAGTACCTCAATAATGCAACAAAGACTAGCAGGCTCTAGGTGGCGGTGACTTTTTTCTGTGACAATCACCCTTCATCTAGTTGGCCGTAGGGTCAAACCTTAAATCACCTAGTTCGGTTCAAACACTGGTGGTGGCACTAGACCACACTGAATGCGTGATTCAAAGCTGAGTATTAAAGTTTTTTGTTTGTTTTAGATTAAGTATCCTGGTTATTGTTCACTTCTAAGACGCATTTTTCTGGTTTTTTCAGAAAGTTCATCAGTTTTTGCTGACCAATATCGCATTGTAATAAACTTTATAAGTTCTTAGGAAAGTGGATTTGAATGTTGGTGTTACACCTCACTAGTTAAAAGCTATGGGCAACAGTGACTGAATAAATATATGCTTCTTGGTGTTCAACTTTATTTTCTATAGCCATTTCCACTTGATACAGTGTTTTACAGTGGTCTTTTCCATATAACAGGAAGTTGGCAGAAAATATTGTACTTATTGGTGGAACAACCATGCTACCCGGCTTCGTGTCTCGTCTAATGGAGGAACTCAATTCACTTGTCGAACTTCCTGAGTTCTCAAAGTTACAAGCTTTAAAGGGATCTTTTAAGTTTCACAATCCTCCTGGTGAAGCAAATTACATAGGATGGCTTGGTGGTAGGTTTTTAAATTGTTGCTAATAAGCCTTCATATTATATTATTTGTCGTAATTTTGACTTCTTTATTTTTCAATTCATACAATTAGTTAATTACTGCTCAGCTGTTTCTCACAACCAACTTATTTGTCAAACTATCATTTTTCATTCTATGGACGTTATTTAACTCGGGCTCGTATTTTATGGAATGGGTTGTAGACTAAGAATAAAAAATGTTCACGAGGTTAAAATATATAAGAAGTGATAATTTCATTTCTAAAGGATGTGTGTTGCGATAAACTAAACTGGAATTATCAGGACTTGATTTTTTTAAAAAGTGTACCTGCCCATGCCGTAATTGTAGATGAAATAATATGAATATTTGTTCATAAATATCAGTTTATGACTCCACATTATTTCTCATTAATGTATTTTTATCAACACTCATTAAATTATGTTAATAAGGAATAAATTCAAGTTGATGTACCTCATTTCCTCTCTACAGGAGCAATTTTTGGTGCGCTCGAATGTCTACCAGGACGTTCACTGAGTCGGTCTAGTTTCTTGGAAGATGGTTTAGTTCCAGACTGGTGTACTCAAATTGATCAAAAACATAACGATCTTGAAAGGCAGGATACTACTCGCCAGTGATATCTAATATGAATTTTTATTAAATCAACCATTACGTATTTATCATTCAGTAAATATATTTCCTTCTAAGCATCTGTTAACTTTCCCTTTGTTTACAACTTCATGAAACAACTTATTTTTGATAATTTTATTTCCAGACCAGCTAGTACTTTAATTATTTCCTGGTTTTGTCAGTTGGGTTGGATGTTTTGGGTTTTAGAAATAAATTCTTTTCAAAACGTATGACTTTTGGTAACACCATTTTGATGAACCTCTCTATGTTTCTATATTGTCGTATTTTTAGTTTAAATGGATCATATTAAACCTAGATACAGACTAGTCGATTTAAAGTTGAGAAGTTTTACATTTTACTACTGGGTGATTTTGAAAAAAGTCTAGAAATCACTTTTCTAGTTATTTGATTAACACCACAGAAAAAAACAAACGCTCAGTTATTATCGTTATTTTTAGGTATTAGTTGAAGAATTAGAAGTCCTTAAAATGTGAATCATTGATTGTTGAGTCGACTTATAATTCCATGAAAAAGTATTTATGCAAATGATTTGAATTAGATCCTCTGCTTTTTTCCACCAATCTACAACAATAAGTTTTCTGGAACGTTTAGTATAAGATTTTCGTTTGGGGAGAGGGGAAAAGTAGTAGATCTTTCATTAAATTTGGATAAACACAGGGATTTATCCATATAGTAATCCTTTAACTTTAAGTTCTTATTAAATATGATGCGATTTTAGCTAATTCTTAGCTTTTGATATATATATAATTGATAGGAATACTTTGACTGATAACAGCTAGATAAATTTGATCACGAAGTCTCTGTTTAATCATCTTAAGATACCGAACAAATAATCACATGCATCCTCCTTGCTATTTTGAGGGAGCACTTACAGGAAACTCACTTACTTTTACACATATCGAACTAATCTAGGTATTCAATTGAGACCTAGTGCGTTGATGAAAAATGTGTATTGTAAAGAGAATGGGGCTTGAAATCTTACTACTTTTATTGATAAGCAACATTTCAGGTATTCAATGTAGACATGGTTCTGGATAAGCAAATTGTAGGATGTTTAATAAGTTTTATTAATGAACTTCGTTTAGTTTGACTGTCTATCGCAAGCGACCAGTTTTCTAGGGGAAATATTTAGGACAAATGCTTGCCTTAGGCTTAGAAACAAGAGGATAACTCAAAAAATAAATACTCTATGAATTGACAAACTATTGATTTATCTTGTCGTTTCAGGAGCGATGTTAGCATGAAAGTAGAGCGTTGAGGTAAGCAAGGTTAACCATAGGATTATTAATTTAACAGAAGATAGTTGAATTAATTGTTACTGTGTATATATAGTATGGTGATTTCACAATTCAATGACTTCATGATAAAACCACTGATGGACTGTTGACATTGGGTGACTGAAAAAGTTTTCTACGATCCCAATAACCAGAGGTCTAAAACTTTCAGTTGGAAGTTGCAGAATCATTTTGTTTCAAAGACAACAGCTAAGCTAATAATCCTGTGTAACACCACATTAATCCAACTAGACGAATAAACATAAAACATCGATTAGTCATATTATAGCAATCGATTGAACATGTTACATAAGCAATGTTACACCTTTCATAGAATAAGAATAATAGCAAACACCATACACAGACGAATCCGATGTCCAATAATAATTTTCATAAGAATGATTAATTATCGAGTCACATGGATATTACTAAAAAATGAAGCCAAATAATAACGAGAAATTAAAATAAACAGCAAAAAGCAGTTACATGACTGATAGGATAAAATAATAATGCACAAAAGACGGATAAGAATATTCATATATTACTGACTAGAATGATTATAATCATTATCAATTAAATTAATCGGATCAGGTTAAGCGTAAGAAATAAAACTGAGAAACATTTGTTTTAACTATTATTGTTGGGAGAGTTAAGGCTATGGGGGGGGGGAATTACGCTTACTACATAGAGCATTCAGATAATATAGTGAAGATGTATTTATACAGTAGACTTTCATTAAGAACAGATATTATATTTGCTAAACAGAAGGCGATAAAGACGACATTACAAGAATCGTTTTACATCAGCATTAACTAATGGTAATAAAATAAGCGTATTAAGCAAGGCTATAAATAATAACATTAATGCACAGATTTAAAATATAATTTAGTGTTGTTATATCTTCATTAGTAGCAGTTCCAAAACAGGAAGGCATACATTATATTCTTATTAGTTATATAATTTCCATACGAATATATTAAAGGTTAAAAATCATTACTAAATGACTATCAACTATGCAGACATTTTTGTATGAAGTGGGAAGATGAATGAAAGCGATTTGTTTGACTATCAAGTCGGATAAGTTTTATACAGGGATCGAATAGGTAGCATACAATACATTTTTGGTTAATTTTGTTTTTCTATCACATGTGATATGATGAAGCAATGTTGGACTTCCATTATTATTGTTATAGTTTGACACAGTAGTATGTATTTGCGTGTGTTTTCGAAAGGGATATACCGTATACGAACAAAGATATGATTTATCAAATTTTGTAAAACAGAACAAGATAATTAGTTATTTTTCTTTGGTTGACAATTCAAGTATACGTGCTAATTCTTCATCCTCAGCTCGGCGACGTTTTTCCTCAAGTTCTTGTTCAATACGAGATTCTTCTAAAGCTTTCATATATGCTGCATCCGCACTTGTTACAGGAATTTCAGCACCGTCAAGACTTAAACTGGCTGCGATTGCTCTATAAGAAACAAAATACTGAAATAATCTCACTAAGAATATGCATACTTCTCATATCTACATGTATAAAAAATCTCATTCCGAAATGTCGATTACTACCAAGGCTATTTATTCATGGAGGTAAAACGATTTTATTTGGAACTATGAATGTTTAGAAAAGTACTACAATATAATTTGTGAATCATCAACTGAATCAAATCATACCAACAAATTACAACTAAATAAGGGAAATGAAAAGGCTTAGAGTAGTAATTCATATACTTTAGAATACAATCAATGTTTGGATCAACAATACTAATACATGGTGTTTTTGAAGACAATTAAGTGCTTCTAACGGCAAAGCTATTTAGAATAACAGGAAACTTAGTTGTATTAATTTGAAAAGGTAATAATCAACCATCCAACCAAGTTAAGGTGCTGATTTGTCTGTTTGAGCAGACATACGTTTTTCAGATTCAAATTGGAAAGAGTATTCACATCTAGAAACAATGGCTTCACACAACCAGATTTAATTGAAGAGGTCAAGGATGTTTAATTGTATGATCTGAAATACTGTTTAAATAGATGATAACTTGTCAAAATAAACATCACGTATGATTTTTGTTTATGGTTTTGTGATTTCCTCATCACACACACAAATGTGTGTGTGAGTTGTATACTGAACAATCGATATAGGGTACTTTGAAAATGATATTTACATGCGGTATTTCTATTTGGGAAAAAGCTATATGCTGCGAAACTTTGGTTGATTTATTTCAACTTACGTGTTGGCGACACCAAGATAGAAGAAATATCCAATGGATTCGAGACCAAGTCATATGGTGACTAGCCTATCTACATCTAATTCTAAACTATATTACCAGTGATAATTTCGCATGAAACACAGCACTACACAAGGGGATGATGCCAAGTATAAAAAAGAAACATGTTTTGGTTGTGAGTCATCACTTATGGATCACCCACTCAATGCTTTATCAGAATGTATTACAAAAACTAGCAGGTAACCAAATCTCTTTTTTATATCAACTACTGTTTAAAATTCCGTTAATTTAATTTAATTACTTATTTATTCTGAAGAAGTACCTTGCACTAAGTCACAAGACGTTAGGAATTCTAATTTCTGCTCATTAGAATATCACTGATATATCATTATTTTATTACTACAATTACAAAAGCTTTATTAATTATTCATGTTTATTTATAGACTCTTGGTGGACTCGAACACCAGTATGACAGAATGATAACATTATGAAGAAAAGAAATAGAGAATATACAATAAATGAATACATAGGCAACGACAGGATTTAATAAAATTCATACTTCAATTTAAAAGACAAGAGAAATTCTTTTTAATTAAAAGGGTTCATCTCAACTTCATGGAAAATTTATTAGAAAACTGCAGCAAGACAGTTACTGACTTCCATTCGGAGCCATATTCGATAACGTCCCAAACTTACGAGTTGCATGGTTTTTAGGATTTCAATCAGGACGTTGTGACACACTAATAGCTATCAGTCCCATATAACTATGTTTACATAAAAAGGTACCATATTACAATATAACTAGCTCTTTGCACCTTCGATTCATATTTCAAGTCACCAAATAATAATGAAGCTTCCACCGTAAATTATTCCCAAGATACCTACCTTAACTAGAGTTTCAAGGCTACGATATCAACTGAACTATTACCGCGGTATTGGACATTATTTACGACATAATTGAGTAATCAGTTTGAGACAAAAATGAAAGAACGTACAGTCAATGAGCATTTTCAGTTTACAAAGGGCAAGTTTCATAAGCCTGGAAGTTTTAAAGCTACCATCGAGTTGTATACTGAACATTCAACAGCCAGACTACAGTCGCTCATAGAGCCAAAGATGATCCACTATCAAATGGCATTCGTCTGGAGGAGAGAAAGCACTAGTAAACAGCACTAAAAACGAAGACTATTTTTGTTTATTCGAAATAATTATTGGATTGGTCTGAAGTTCCAGGATTTGTGATATACATATATTTATATACACTGAATTTTTCTGGGCGTTACCTTAAAATCGATCAATCAAAGTTCAGGACGAAATATATTGAGTAAAAGGAAAAAATCATTAAACAAAGCTGTGAATTAGAATAAACAAGTTTGCTATTGTTTTGAAACTGAAAACGCCTCATTGAATGGCTAACCATGGTCATTCGTCAAATTGTGATGTAAATTAACTTTAAATTAAATACTACCTCCATAAACAGTGAATTGAATAAGTACAAATGCTTACTGTTGCATCCAAGCTTCTTCTGGTTCAACGTATTCATCAGCTCTCGCCTCGACTATACCTCGTTTAGACTTAGTAAGGGGAAATGAGCAAAAGAGAACACAAAATAAATGCTCAGTAATCTAAAGATTTTTTCTGAGAAAATATTATCTTATTACAATAAAATCCCATAAAAAAGATTATTTCTTATGATAAAT